TGTTCTTCTGATTATTTTTTAAATAAAATTTGTTCTAATTAATAAACTCCATGCGACCACCTACTTATATATCCATGACAAACAAAGGCAAAGGCAAAGAAGGCATGAAATTTGTATCTATTTTGAAAATTAATTGATGTCTTCAAAGACTTTAACTTTTGTTTTTTAAGATTGGAAATGACTAAAATATTCTTTAGCAAATCAAACATAAAAAACTTGATTGTATTGAAAGACTAATGAATTTGCATTATCCTAAAAATGTTTTCAAGTCAAATTTGACGCATGTGGGCATCAATTGCATTGTTTATGAGGTAATTTTAAACTATTTTTCAAACTTATGATGATTTTTTTTATAAATATAATTACTAAAGAAGAATTTTTTAGTATACAATACTTTGAAATTTTGTTTTCAAAAGTTCCCTCAATTTTTAAATATTCCATAAATATCATTATTCTTCAAATATTCAATAAATACCACAAATACAAAATTGATTTTCAATACTTTATAATTTAAACTAGGTGATCGACCTGCACTGTGTGTAATTTTTTTTTTTTGTGAATTACGTTAACAATGGTATCTAGTTGAAAACCATCTCCAAATTTTTTATTTTGGAAACACAAGTTTTCACGTTAATATTACTTCAAAAGTATGTGATCCTCTTAAAATAAACCAACCCATAATACATAGCATATAAATGATAATGTACACAAAATACGTTAAAACCATTAAAAAATGAAGCTATTAAGGCATCACTTTTTAATATTTTCTTTCCTAGTTGTAGTTAGACATTTCTATTTTTTTTTAAGTTACTCTTGATTTATTTTTTTCAATCTTTGCTGTCTTTGCTTTGACCATGTAGTCAATTATGAAGTAGCTATTGTCTCATAATTTTTACCACGAAACGTGTGATGTTGCAGTCGTCAAGAACCAAGAAGATAAACTTTATAGAATTCAACCCAGTYGAGASGCAGAAACATTMAAVTACAAAACAAAGATYACATATTACATAGAGGAACCATCAAACAATCAAACACACGAGATTTAAAAGCAATCAAATCTATTATATAATTAGGGAGTTCTCTCTCCATTTAGGGTATCCATCTAAACAAAAAAAAAATTACAATAAATTTTATTTTAAATATTCAATTAATTCATCTTAATATGTATTGATTGTTATCCATAACTACTAAAAAATTGAACTAAATAAAAAACGAAAATAAGCAAAAAAATGATAAAAAGTAGTACATTCCAAAATAATTTGAGTTTTTTATTGCTGTAAATACAAAATTACAACAAAAAATATATTTTATGTATATTTTGCTTCATTAAGAGTAATAAAAAAAATTAAGAGTTTATGATAAAGATGAATGTTTACATATTTTAATTTCAAAAAATTGA